GATGACAGAGTTGAAACCATGATAAAAATAAAGAAGGTAGTGTCAATCAAAAATTTTAATTTTTAATAAGGTTTTTTGAAGTTTCCTTTTTTATTAAAACTGAATAAAGCGTTGCCATATTTTAAAAAATTATGCTAAGTTCCTAGGAATTTTTAGTGAAGAATTTGTAATTTATTATTAGATTTATTCTATTATTAATTTTTGCGACGTACTGATAACGAAAACACACTGATTTAAATAAGACATTTTTCAATTTATTTTTATTACAATAATGAGTTTATTATATTCATATATGGACTGTAGTTTTGACTATAGTCCAACCTATAGACTAGAATAAACCCTAAACTATAGACTTGACTATTGACTAAACTACGGCTATAATTTTCTGCTATAAATGTATAATGAAATCACACTATTCTATATATGACTATCCATTTGTTCCAATTATTCAACTAGATGCCCATGTAGTTCTGGCAAAATTTGAGGTTCGTAACACTAAAAGCTTTCAAGTCCATCAAAGTTTGTCTTAAATATTTATATTGATACAAAAGTAGACTATAGTTTAGTCTATAGTCTGGACTATAGTCTAGTCTGCAGTCTGTACTATAGCTTAGTGCATAGACTGAACTAAAGTTTAGCCTGTAGTCTGGACTATAGTTTATTCTATAGGCTGGTCAAGTTTATAATTTGGACTATATTTTAGTCTAAGTCTGCACTATAGCATAGTCTGGACTAAAGTTTAGTCTGTAGTCTGGACAATAGTCTTGTCTGTATTCAGGAATATAGTCTGTACTAAAGGCTGAATTTTAGTCTATTCTGTGTTTTGAATAGTCTAGTTTGCGTGGAAATTCAATCCGTTAGTCGACCAGACAGAAGAAGGTAATGCTGGAAACATTTGCACTTTGACAAGTTTCGTTTTAACAATGTGGATATTGCATTGTTTTTTATATAAAGCAAACTCATCACCAGCTCTTTTAGCAAATCTTCCTGCAAGTTTTCAATATATTTTCCTGTTTAAATTGTTTAAATAATTAGTTTCTGTTTAATATTAAATATGTTATTAATCTTACCATTGAATTCAATTTAAATGCAAATATTTTGTTCAATTTATTCAATTTTGTTTAATTTTTATACAAACTTCAAAGAAAACTGGAGTTTTTCAAATTAATATGGTAAAACGATTTCTATGAAAACTTCATAATCCTTAAGCATGTCAGATGTAGAATTTAAAAAAATAAAGAGAGATTGACACTACCTTCTATTTTTCTATTATGGTTGAAACATAATTTAAATATTAGGTTAGGTTAGGTAGGCAGGTCGTCCTCGCGATGTCATCACTGGGTACACACTTGGGTCCAGAATTTTGATCCCTTTGTGATACCTGAAACGAGAGAGAACGGTCGGCGTATTAGTACACTTCAACCTAATCACTCTGGTTTCCACCGAACCAGTTTGTCGCACGAATATAGGAATCTATCTTTCGGATATCAACCTCCGATAGATCCGCTAAGTCATGCAGAAAATAGCTACCTAGCAGACCCATTCTGTGATCAGCTAGGGCAGGACAATGACAGAGGAAGTGAGTTATACTCTCTTCTTCCTCTTCATCCTGGCAGCTCCTGCAGAAGTCGTTACTGGGTAAGTTCAGTCTTCTTGCATGGAGTCCGAAAGGCCAGTGGCCAGTTACCACTGCCGTTAAGTTCCGTAGATTAACTCTCGGAATGTAGAAAAGGGCTTGGGATCTTTGTGGGTCGTAAGATGGCCACATGATCCTTGCCTGTCTACAGGTGGCTTCAGTCGACCATCTGCATTGCGCAAGCTCATATAGTTTTTCACGTATCGAGCGTTTGCAGATTGAAAGCGGTATACCGACAAAAGGGTCGGTATGCTCTCCTGCAAGCGAGGAGCCTAACTTGGCAAGAGAGTCCGCGATGGTATTACCAGGAATTTGCTGATGTCCTGGAATCCAATACAGTCCTATTGTGGAATGTTTCGCCATCTCGTTAAGGGATGCCCGGCATTCTAGGACTAAGTTTGACGTCGTGTAGACACCACTTAGAACCTTAAGGGCTGCCTGAATATTAACACCGTATATTCGATAAAACCTGAGCCAGTTTGCAGCCCGTTTAATGGCTGATAGTTCAGCCTGAAGGACGCTACATTGGTCAGGAAGCTTGAATGATACTTCCGTTCCCGAATGTGCTATGTAAAAGCCACCGCCTACACCATGGTTTGATTTTGAGCCATCAGTGAAAACCTTATACGATCCGTCATGGAGGATTGTTTCCATCACATTTGGGTCGTCTCGGATATTCACCGAAAAGCTTCTATCAAAAGACGGTTTGGCGATGCAATAGTCGATATTGCCAGGAATCTCTCCTAGACAATTGAGAATGGTGGAGTGACCTGACTGAATCATATGCCACATACCAATTGTATTGAGTCTAATAGCCGCGTTGAGGGCAACCTCTTGGGCCATTAGATCAATAGGTAGCCATCCCATCATGACAAAGAGAGCCTTTGATGGGGTGGTGCGGAGAGCCCCCGTTATCAACAGAGCTGATGTACGAAGGATTCCCTCAAAACGTTTGCGGTGTGAGTCCTTTTGTACAGACTTCCACCATACAAGTGCACCGTACAATAGTATGGGCTTGACTACCATGTCGAAGAGCCATTTGGTATTCTTGGGGTTTATGCCCCATGATTTGCCAATTGCTTTCTTACACGAGTATAAGGCCGCAGCCGCTTTTGATACTCTAGATTGAGTGTTCAAATGCCATGATAGTTTTGAATCTAGGACTACTCCCAGATATTTAGCACTATCCGATAACTTCAATTCTATCCCATTCAGTCGTGGGAGAGTGAAGGTGGGTATCTTGTACTTCTTAGTGAAGAGAACAAGTTCCGTTTTCGATGGATTAACACCAAGGCCACTGACGTTGCTCCACGTACTGAGTGTCTTGAGTGCAATCTCCATCCTTTGCGATAAAGTATCCAGATATTTGCCAGATACTACTACAGACACATCGTCTGCATATGCTATTACCTTAAATCCCATAGATCTAAGATCCATAAGAAGTGGGTTCAACGCTAGGTTCCACAGAAGTGGAGATAGAACTCCACCTTGTGGGGTACCGCGATTTGCCACTTTTGTGACATTTGCTGCTCCCATTTCGGAGATAATGATTCGTTGAGTCAGTAATCTCTTGATGAAAGCTGTTATTGGTTGGTTTATACCCAGACCAGTTAGGGCCGTTGTTATCGACCCAGGGTGAACATTGTTGAAAGCCCCCTCGATGTCCAAGAAGGCAACCAGTGTATATTCCCCTTGCGCTATTGTCTTTTCAATGTGACAAACTAGCGAATGTAGTGCAGTCTCAACAGATTTTCCCTTCATGTAGGCATGTTGAGATGCTGATAGATGGTCAGGTTTGATATGTATTCTGAGATGCAGATCAATTATCCTTTCCAAAGTTTTGAGAAGAAAGGAGGATAGACTAATTGGTCTAAAATCCTTTGGCTTCGTGTGAGAGGTCTTTCCTCCTTTCGGAATGAAGACCACTGTGCACTTGGTCCAGGGTTCGGGTATATAAGACCATTTTAAACAGGCATCATATATCCGCGTTAGCCAAGGCATAAGATGGACAGCATTGTATTGCAAATCCGCAGGTATTATACCGTCAGGACCCGGTGATTTGTAGGGGTCGAAGCTGTTTATCGCCCAGTTGATTTTATCTTCATTTATGGATATTCCTGTATCAGCTGGGAGATCTGTAAACTGCATGTCAGTCCCGTTTTCCGGAGATTAAAATTTTTAATAAAATGGAAAATAATCTGGATAGTATTGAGGTGGTAATTCCATAGGCAATTACTTTAGATAATATTTATAACTGCAGGCAATTGAAAGTATTGTCATCAACAATGTTTTTAAAGAGCAAGAGCAAAAGAGGCGTTGGTGGGTCAAAAATGGATCGTTTTGGATATGCCGGAAATGAAATGCGCTTGAAGGACAGTGAAAGCTTTCACAATTTGCAAGGATGTCTGATGTTTAATTCGACCTTCTCCTTTGTAAAGTGTGGGACCTAATTAATAATGGGTGCTATGAGCAAAAAATGACCATCGAAAGAAACCCCTCATGTATATTATCAAAATAAATTTATGTATTTTTTATGATATTTGGCGAATGGTATGAGTTATGAATCTTTCGAATTTGCAAATCTATGTACTTTACACAACAGTAATTTTTAATTATTGTATCTAAATTTGGTTGGCAGTTTCATAATAAGTTCTTTTTTACAAGCATCAATTCAACAATAAACTCCACTACATCTGAATTATTTGTTTGTTATATAGGGACAAGACAATAATTTATTACCTGTATTTTCAAAAATTTCCTCGATAGTTTTCGGTTTTATCTCATAAAAATTTAAGAACAAAAAATATCTTCAACAATGAAAAAATTGAATTATTTTCGCTTCTTCGGAAGTCTTCCACAGAAGGTAAAAAAATTCAATTAGCGCTACTTTTGAAGTGGTGATAAATATTATTGTTTTGGAAATACTTCGTTTTCTTTTTGCTGGGTAGTTTCGTGAAGTTTGTTTAAAAATGTGTTGCGAAAATAAGAAATTTTAAAGCAATTCGGAATAAGTATTTTTTTCTATTTTGCTTTCCCATAAAAACTCAAGCAATTTGTTTCTGTTTGATAGAAATAACTACAGGTTCCAAATCATGATTCAAGCTATCGGAACTGCCTATTTATTACCAATTTTTAAATTATTTTCTTTCAAAATCCCGCTTTTTAATTACTCGGATCCCGCTATTATTCAATGTATTTAAAAAATAATAAAAACAAAGCTAAAAAAAATTGGCCTACAACCGATTTTAAGCCGCCATCGAAATTTTTAGTGCTAGACGTAGCTGTCGTTTATGTTTGCCGGCGCAGGTCTCTCTCTGATGACTATCGAGTACTTTTTGGTTTTCTAAAAAGTAACTGTTTACATTGTAACGATAAGAAATATTCTGACAATACATAGTTTTTATTTTGTGGCTTCTTTCTGTTTTTGTACACAAAAGAAGGAAAAAAATTAAATTATGTACATTTTAATTGAAAAAAGTTATTAAGTGTTTGCGAAATTAAATAAATAGTTTAAGATATAATGATTAAAATTCCCCGTAAAACGTATTTATGCCTGTGGTTGATAGTTTACTTTGTCCTTATTGTTACAAATGATGCAAAATGCCCTGAAAAGTGCCAGTGTAAAAATAACACAGACTCTTCATGGAATTTACGTGTAAAATGTGGGGGTTCTTCCGATGAATATCTATCTAACTGGCAAAGTATAGACTTTGAAGAGGATGCAGTTAATGTCTTTACGTTGTAAGTTTTGTCAAAAGAATGATATGTAAATATGTGTTAGGAAAGGGAGTTACCCCATTTGTTATCCTCTATTTTTTATAGAGATTTAAGCAGAAATGGATTTACTGGAATCGATAAAGAGTTTTTTCGTAATCTAACAGAACTAAAACGTCTTGATTTGTCTTTTAATCAAATCAAGATGATTGATAAATCAACCTTTGGTGATACTACAAAAAGCGTAGAACGTCTTAAATTAGCCAATAACTCTATAGCACATATATACCCAGGATCTTTTGATCATTTTCCAAATCTCAAACAACTGTAAGTAAAACAGCTACATATACATATAAAGGTGTCCATTTAATTACTTTGTATCATATCTGTAGGGACATATCTAACAACCCATTAGCTTGTGACTGTGATCTAATTTGGTTAGTAGGATGGTCTAACAGTCATCTGGTAAAACTGCAACCTGGTCCAAAATGCGAATCTGAAGATTTTAAGGGCATTTTGTTAAAGAAATTAAAAGTGGGTGTGGATTTGTACTGTGAATCTCCACACCAGCCTCTTTTAGAATTTATACCAAGGCAAAATCAGGCAAGTTTTCACAGTGATTATTTGTAAGAATTTTAAATAAAAAATTATTTCATTTTATTTAGGTTGTGTTTGAGGGAGATGAGTTAGTTCTCAAGTGCCGGGCTCCACGAGTTGCTGTCGGAGTCCCTCATGAATCTGAAGACCTACCCACCAAAGCTCACGTATTCTGGGGCTGGTCGGAAACAATTCGTACTCAGAACTCTACAGATGACATTGTATATCATGATCCGACCAAGGTCCTAAATGATGTCCATTTAGAAAGTAAACACACAACAGATTCTGGAATTCTCAATTCAATCTTGCGTATTGCCAGTGTGCGACGCAATCATACGGGAATGTTTGATTGTACGCTGCGGTCTCAGCAAGCTAATTTATCACACGCAATAGCTGTAATTGTAATTGCCAAAAATACACAATACTGTAAGGCAATAAACGTTCAAACAAATAAGGGCAATTACCATTGGCCCCAAACGGTTCGTGGACAGGTAGTGGAACAACAGTGCGTTGAAGAATCTGATGGCGGACAGATGGCTACTTTTCGTTGTCATGAAAACGGTACATGGGTGGATCTTAATACTGAAGTGTGTGCGTATGTTAGTCCAACAACACGTGTCTTGGAACAGTTCGCTAAAATGAACTTAACACTGAATAAGGCAAACGTTTTAGAAATTGCACGCCGCTTGCACAACTTAACCCATACAATGTCCAATCTAAGACGTATTAAAGACCCCATGGATTTGGAGTTTGTGGCACGAACTTTAGTGAAATATTTAGATTTTATAACGTATCAAAATGAGTTGGCTCACCTACTTTTGGACATAGTATCGCAGCTACTACTCTTGCCGTCTAATACTTTTTACGAAGCGCAACGCCATTATCAAAGCGGTCTTAAGTTGCTTGAATGCGTGGAGGCTGCGTCTAAGCAAGCATCTTTACATACGCCGACAACAGAAGATCACGGAAATATACAAAATAATTTAGTGACGATTCCACGCACGTTTTTTGTTGATTACTTCAGTATTCGACCGGAATCTTTTGCTGGCATATCCTGCGTTTGGGTACGTTCTTCAACTTCATCGTCAGCTTCAACGACAAGTTCATCCTTTGAATGTAGTACTTCGAATGATTCATTTCCCTCATTTGAGCGGTATATTGATGCTGCAATTCAAATCCCTGTGAATTTGCTGTTTAGTGATAAATCGTCCAAATCCGTCATCAAATTGATGGTCGCCGTATTCCGTAATGCAAATCTACTGCCTCATTTGACAAGTAATAAAAGTGTTGAACTTTCTTCGCCAATTATTGCAGCGAAAACGGTTCATGAAAGTGACGAAAGTTATCAGCAATTAAATGATGATATTGACGAGAAAAATCAAATTGCTATCATACTTCGTGTACATCCGTTTCATGATGATCGAAGTGCACCGATACCAGCTCGCTGGGACGACGAAAGACAAATATGGTCCCCGGAAATGTGCCAACAGCTTTACCTACATCGCGGTCTTTTAATGTTTTCTTGCAAACGTTTGGGGTACTATGGACTGTTGCAAAGATCCGCTTACCTAAACGATTTTGAAAGTGATCAAGCGGGAGCCCGCTTTCGATTTCTACCATATGCAATATATATTGGGACGGTAGTACTCTTTCTCTGCTGTTCCATTAATATTGTAACATTTCTAGTTTTCGGCAGAGCCATCCGGATAAACCGACAGCAGCGACATACATTTGTTAATACCTGGTTGGCTCTAGCACTTCTTTGTCTTTCATTTACACTGGGAATATTTCAGACAGAGCGGCAAGATGTGTGTCGTATGATTGGAATGCTTATACACTATTTAAGCATGTGTGTTTTACTATGGCTGAGTGTCAGTCTCAGCACTATGTATAAACGCCTTTCAAAACATCATCGTGTAGTTACCGAATCGGACCTTCCCAAGGAAGCACGTCTGAAGAAACCTATAATGGGCATATACCTCGTCGGGTGGGGAATTTCCATGATGATTTGTGGCATTAGTGGAGCGGTGAATATAAACGAGTATGCTGCATATTCATTCTGTTTCCTCCACAATGGATCGGCGATGAATGCTATGCTTGTACCCGGTGGCATATTACTGATTTTTATATGTATTCTATTTTTAACCATATACTATCAGCTCAACCATAGGAGTTCAGTGGCAAATATGATGCAAAATCACCATCAATTTTCTGACAATACTCAGGCCACGGAGAATATTGACATGGATTGGCTGGACACAACGACACAAAGCAATCCTCCGGGAAGACGCACGAATATTAATGCGAAAAGCTTAAATTTGGATCAGTATACCAGTCTCACACTAAGTAATACTGCTGTAAGTAGTATCGTCGATGATTTCGAACGTTCCAATTTGGCACATTTAAGGGCCCACTTTGTTTTCTTGGTCTTGTTTGTAATTGCATGGTTTTCTGCTGTAGCATTTGTAATGCACTCGGCTCAGGGTGACGATGATCTGGGCCACATGTACTCTGTGTTGTTTGCTATAGCTTGTTGTTTGCTCGGCATATTCACGTTATTATTTTATACATTGACTAGAAATGATACACGGCAACAGTGGAGCCATAATCCATGTTGCGGACAAGATGGTTCAGATGGGCCGTATAATGAGACCACATATAATGACGGAGTTGCTCCGGTTGCTAACAGTGTATTAGCTTATAAACCCTCATATGAAGCAGGAAACAATTCCGGAGCTTCTCGGTCTAATTCACAATGTTCCAAACATCGAACGAGCAGCATACGGAATGGTGGTGGAATTGTCGATGCAACCACTCAACATCTTTTAGCGGTTTCTTCTGCTCCTGCTCCCGCTACAATAATTAACAATCAGCATATGGCAAGTGGTACAGGAATTGGTCTATCACATGACATTCCAAGTGCTGAATTATTTTATAATCCTAATCAAATTAATGTTGCTCGGAAGTTTTTCAAGAAACAGAAGAGATTAGCAAAACGAAATAATTTTGAGTTGCAACGACAAAAAGACAGACCTGATTACGGAGGAAGTGTTGGGGCTGCAGACACTGCAAGTGATATCTCTTCGACAACTGGCAGTGGTCATGGCTACTCTAGACGTCACAATGCAATGACTCTTAAACTGTTGAGCAGTGGAGTGGGTAAAGTAAATAACACGAATATCAACTATAAGCCAGACTACAATGTGGGTTACAAGAGTCATAATCATCATCCTTTAGACAATTTTGATGACGTTGATGATATATTTACTTCCTCAAATGTCTCAAATATAGCAAATAATCAAAATAACCAAAATTCATTAAGGAAACGGGCCAATATATTAGCAATGAATATTTACACCAATATTCCTGAAACAATGGCGCCGCAACATGAGATACACAAAGTAAGAGGTGGTGGTAGTGCAAGCTCAAATGTTGGCGGTGGACGTTTACTCAAACCTTTGGAGGAACACCACGAAGAATTCGAGGAAATTGATAGTAGTTCACATGACGAGAATATACCACTTTACGAAAATACTCTTCAAAAGGTCAACGTCAAACCATCTTCCAACAATATATTTAATACATCGTTTAATTCTGCTACACCTTTACATTACCCCACTACATCCACACCGAACAAATCTAAGGCCCCTGAACTAAAAGAAATTGACGAACATACAGCTCAACAGAAATTATTACTATTAGACCACGATGTTGAGGCAATGAATAGCATAGGTCTGCCATCCGCAGCTGTCGGCAACAAACAAGACTTTTCAAATGAATTCTCCCCAAATGCCCTCGATGGCCGGAACAGCAATGATGAAATCCAGGATAATGATGAGGATAATGATAAACCAAATCTGCAGCGAAATGAGATTTATGTATCGAATTCTTTACAAATAACAAATCGTGTGGACATTGAAGATGATTTTGCAGCTGTCCTCATACGCGGCAATCAACAACCAAAACATTCGAAATCATTAAATAATTTAGATTGTATATATGGTGGCGTAGCTGGAGCAACTAAAACTAATAGTGGCAAGTTAGATGCGATAAACGTTTCGTATGGATCAGATAGAAACTTGACACATATTGGAGCTATAGGGAATGCTACAAAACAAAGGTGTCCCTCGCTCTATGAAGTTATTAACGACAAAGAGTCTGTAACAAGCCTTCGAGAATTGCACTCTTCAACAAAATCACTGGAGACATCAGCTCAAAATTACTTGTCAAACAATAGAAATGAAACAGATGTCAATGTAGTTGAAGGATTTCATATGACAGGAACGTGCACGCGATCGGCAAGTCCCACAAACGAAAGCGATTTGAATTACCAAAATTCGGAAATCAGTATACGTAGCCATGGTTTGTATGCGCCACAAGCCGATAATGACCTGACATTGACCGACGACTTCCGTTATCAGTCCTCAAATGCTAGCGAAGCTGACATGGGCTTAAATGACTTCGATGATGAATTTGGTGCCTTTGGCAGTCACAATTTCTCAAACGATTTGGATGGAACTGACCATGATGACTCGGCTGATCCCATCGATGCACTCAACACATCTATTGACGAATTGTACGAAGCTATAAAACGACGAAGTCCTCTTACAACAAAATTACCACTAGCAAATCAAATGACAGGAGAAAGTCCTTATTGTGAAGTGTCTGCACATTGCCCAGATGAAATGCATTCCTTAGTCAGGAATGATTCCCGTAACAACGTGAACACTGATGATGGCTCAATTTCTGCGATAAATTTACCATCATCATCTTCGTCTTCACTCTTGCCAACAGCATCAAGCACTTCAACAACTACATCCTTAAACACTGTGTTAACAAAATCTTTTCGCGAGAATCTCATAGATGACGATAGCAGTCAAAGTAGTGTAATATCATATATAGACCCCAAAGTAACAAAAAACTCACTTAGCTGAAGTCACTCTGCAATATTCAAATTAATAATTGAATTCAATATAATACTAAGAGCAAATCAAGGCGCATTGGAGCAAACTATTTTTAATAAGGCATAGTTTCAGAGATGTCTTTGTAACTTGGTTTAACGTTCCATTTAATTATTATTTTACCACTTTTTGTTGTGCTAATTTCAGGAGTGTCAATTTAAACTAATTCTTCAAATACGTAAAAAAAAAACATAATTATTTTGAGATTAACCAATAAAATTGAGACTCAGTGACTTCCTTAGGTAAGAGCTAAAAATAACAAGATGGATTAAGTTTCAAATTCTCATTGCATTAACTACTCAATATGTATGTATTGTTTAGAATTAAACAATACATACATACATAATTTGTAAGTAACCCTTTCATAACTGCTCGTTATTATTTTGGTTTATCGTGCGATTATGAAAATCTAGTATATATTAACTGATATTTATATATTATATAAGTCTATTAAATTATATTACTCTTAAGTTTTTCTACTAGATATTAAAATTGTATTGTTATAAGTTAAGCATTAAATATTGTATTATGTACAATTCCATTTTATTTGTCGACTGACTAGATTTTTTTCAAAGAAATTTTGAATATGTTTCTCTTAATGAAATTTCCTCTCTTGTTAAGAGTTGAAATATGTAATTATACTCAATTAAAACCTTTTTATGTAAATCTTATAAAAATTTTAAATATTTCATCCCATTCATTGTATGTGTAAATTACTGTTTAATATGCGATATCTGTGTCTTCATCCATCGTGCAACGGGCATGATGTATGAAGATCATAATTGTGTAAATTCATTTAAAAAAATTCACAACATAAAACAACGAAAGCTTATAGTTTCTTAAACCAATTTTGTTGTATTTTCTAAATATGTATTTATAATTTTATAAAATAAAGATTTTTAATAAATGTACAAAACAGGAAAGATTAACTAAATTGAAATTGTGTAAAAATATAAAACAAAGACAAAAAAAAAAAACGTGAAAATGAATAAGGGATTAACAACAAGTTACTTCATAAGCGAGTGCACAACAGCATTGACGTTGATAGCTTTTAAATCGGAATAGGTTTGGCCGGTGCCCACAAACACAATTGGCTGACCAGTGATGTATGTCATTGATATGGCAGCGCCAACTTTATCGTCTATTGTATCAAACTTTGTTAAGACAATTCCATCGATAATGTGGGGATTTTCGTCGGAGGAATAATCGGCAAGGGCTTGATTAAATTTAACCAATTGATCTACTGCTTCATTGCCGACTAAAGCTTCGCCAACAAAGAGTACCAAATCGGGATCATTAACTTTAATAAGTTTCGAAAGGGAGCGCATCAATGGCTCATTGTCTTGCATACGACCAGCAGTGTCAACCAATACAACATCGATGCGCGTGTCATTAGCAAACTTAATGGCTTCCATCGCTATACCGGCGGCATCTTTACCATAACCTTTTTCATAGAGTTGAACCATAGTGCGACCACCATGTTTCTCTGGCGGATGGAGGGCATTCAGATGTCGTGTATGTGTACGCAATTGTTCGACAGCACCGGCACGGAAAGTATCGCAAGCTGCTATTAAAACACTAAAATCGTTCTCAATTAACCAAAAACATATCTTAGCTAAATTTGTAGACTTTCCCACACCATTAACACCACAGAAAATAGTAGTATATGGTCTGTTGTTTCGTTTGGCTTCGAGGGCATCACGTATAATATCAACGCGTCGTTTTGGTGATAAAATACGCACTAGAGACATTGTTAGAGCATCCTTTACCATAGTTGCCACTGAATCAAATGTGCCAATAGATTTGCCTTCCAAACTGGTAGCGACAGAGTCGCAAAGTTTGCATGCAATATCCGCAGCAACATTCTTGGAAATTAGATGATCACGCATTTTGTCTAAAGCTGTCTGCAAATCTGCGCGTGTCAAAGTTTTACCACCTACAAAGCCCTTGAAATAAGATAAAATGCCAGATTTTTTCTTACTATCTGAGACAACTTGAATCATAGGTTCGTCATTGTCAGAATCAACTTCATCGTCGTCACTCTCTACTTCCAAATCTCGTATACTTCCCTGCATTGTGCCTACAATCTGCAAAATAAAATTGATCATGCATTATCATTTAATCACCAAAAATTTAAAATAACACTTACATCGTTTTGAATATTTTTATATTGAACATCGTCAGCATTATCTCTTGAACGATCTAATACCACAGCATCCTTAGAGCTTCCACCCAAATCCCAAACTCTTGGTTTTTTGCCAGCTTTTTCCTTTTCAGCTTTAGCCTTACTCTCCGGCTGAGGACTCTTCTTACCCGATAATTTTTCTCTCAATTTTTTGCGATTTTCCATAATAATATCTTCATTTGTGACAGTTTTCTCAGAAAATTTTCCTTTTGGACTCTCCACTATATTTACTTTTTTCGTATTTTCGCTCTTTTTGTTATCATTTGGATTTTCAATCATTGAAGCTACCGTTTTCTTAGATTTAAGAGATTCATTAAAGGACCTCATTGCTTTCGGCGCTTTACTATTTTGCTTAGCAGAGTTCTCCGCCGATGCTAACGCGGTTCTAAACTCGCTGTCAAATTCATATTCGACACCATAACGTTGGGAAGACGTTAATAAATCACCGAATTTATCCTTGAATGCAATTTGCATATCGCTTAGAAAACCGTCAACGTAGGGTAATTTTATAACTTTTTGGTACACAACAACGTAAACCAATTCTAGTTCATTGTCCAATTTGAATTGTATAGCTAAGTTATCCTCCTCAAAATATTTTGATTCTGTACTGCGTTCCTGCAAAAGTAAACATTGTTTTTAATTTGATGTACTTACTACGTATGTAAGTGAAAGTTTCACTATACATTAAGCATTTTAAACTTCAAGCATATAATTTATTCAAAAATAACTTACCTCTAATATAACACTACGTATCAAACTGTTTATATTTGGAGTTACATTTTGGCCCGTAGAATTACATTTCCATAAAACTACACCACCTTTTGTAAAAACTACTACATAGTCCAACATTTCGATTAAAAGTTCCGAACAAATTTAAAATCTGTACACGTCACAAGTCCGATTGTACACGTCGCAATGGTCACAGGTTATTGCAATCCTTAATTATTTTACACTTTGAATAACAAAATCTTCACATAAATACTTGATTAAGAAATCAAAATTGAATTTATTTTTGAAATGACCCAAAAAATAATTTGAGTGTTTACAAGATTCTTTTAATATTTTTTTCTACTTTTACAACCGAAGAGGTAATTGCTGCTAAATATCTTAACAAAATGCAAATAAAAATATTTGTTTTGACATTTGCCTTGACTTCTATTGAAACAAAGTGTATTAAAAAAGCGACCGCATGAGGAAGTAATCAGTACTGACAATTTTTTTTATAGAGAGTTTGACAGTTAAAATATAGCAAGTATATATAGAAAAAGGGAATCGTTTGTGCGCTCGCATACACCTCTGTGTATGCACATTGTATTGTGTTAGTGTTTTTTTGACACTTACTTTGAATAATCTTTCTTTATAAGTACACTGAGCAAAATAAAATTATTTATTCGATTCATCTAACCCGGACGTTACACGATCATGTTATTCCTTTCCACTTTAGTTATGCTATGTTTTCATAGAAGCGTCGTGTGTGATTGCCCTGTAAAATAATCTTTCGACCTAATTGTTTGTTTTATTTAATTAAAAAAACATATTCAAATCAAATAAGTTGTGAAGAAAATTAATAAACATAATGACAATGACAAGTTAAAAAGTAAAATAACTTCAGCCTACGTCATAGAAGCAATTTGAAATGCATTTGACAAGCAATTTGTGTGAAAAACTTGAAAGAAGAACTTGATGGAAAAACTTTTAGTGGAACTGCGTAAATTAAAGTCTACTCGACTCGAAAAGTTGATTTTTTAATTTGTATAGTCGACCTTTTAAATAAACGACATTAATTTTTCGGTTTTATAATTGTAAAATTTTTCAACTTCTTTTAATGTAAATTTTTTCCAGAAATCTTGTTTCCACTTTATTCACATTATTATAAACTGATTTCAACAGACAGACGGACATGGCTTAATCGACTCCGCTATCTATAAGGATTCAGAATATATATACTTTATGGGGTCGGAAAATTATATTTTGGAAATTACAAACGGAATGACAAACTTATATATACCCTTCTCACGAAGGTGAAGGGTATAACAAGTAGGAAAGTATAGTCGGGCATGGCCTACTATATTATGCCCTACACCATTTTATGTTTTTTACCTTTACCTTTATTCCGACGTATTTAAGCAATTTATTGATGGAAAAACAATTTTCTAAAAGAGGCTATATATGGGAGTTAGGGCTCGATACTTATAAAGTTAGGTGAAGAGATATATTTTTATATAAAAGTTAGTTATGATGAATTTCATTGCGATACTAATGGTTATAAGTCAATTTTGGACGTTTAAGACATTTTTAAAGGGAGCATTGTATTGGGGCTAGGGTCAAATAAGGGCCGATCATTAAGCGCCTCGGCGACACATCAAATTGTTTGACTCAAACGGTAAGTTTTTTGATTGTGTTAGTAAAAAAACTCACACCACATATATACATGTGAGTTTTTTCACTAACACAAGCAAAAAACTTACCGTTTGAGTCAAACAAATTTGATGTGTGGCCGTGTCGCTATACATAAATCGGCAGTGCCATTTATGCTTATATAAAACTTAGTTGTGCGATTTCTGGAGAGATAGTAATATAGGTATATGACGTAGTTATGGCATAAAAAGCACAAATCGGGGGGTCCGGTTCTATGGGGGCAAGGTAAAATAATGGATCGATTTCAACAATTTTCAATAGTCTTCGTCCCAGTGCCGAAAAACGCATTTGGTCCAAATTTTATCTAAATATCTTCAAAATTGCAGGCTGTACCTTGATCACAAGGTTTACATGGACAGCCAGCTAGACTGACGGACATGTGTTAATCGCCTCAGAAACTGATTCTGAGTGTAGGACCAATATTTTTGTGCGTTACAAACATCACCACAAACGCATAATACCATCCCCACTATAGTGGTGGGGCATAAATAGTCCATGTTAATACTGCTCAAGAGTATAAAAGGCCAAGTATCTTTTCTCTATACACAAATATGTAAAAGAAGAGGGTGTATTCTTAAATAAATGAAACTGTTTATTAATCGTTATTATGTCTGAATAACTGCAAATATTTTTTGAAGTTATTTTATAGATATTTAAAATTAGTTCCAGTCTTTTAAACTACAAAAAATTAAATCTTAAATCTAAACACAAAAGATTACATTGATAAGTTTGTGCCTTTAAGTGCCAACTGGATTTTGATGACGTTGACGTGTGTTTAATTCCATTTAAGATCGATTGTATTTACCCCAAATGTGAAGCATGAACACAGATGCTATGAATAGCAATGACATAACTAACACTGGAACAGGGCCAACTTTAATGCCAGGAGAGTCATCAGTATAAAAACGCCACATACCACCGGTTCCAGCACCACCGGCAGCTCTGCTTCTCGGAGCAGTACCAGTACTACTAGTCGTTTTACG